CCATATTTGCACGATGTAGATGTTCTATGAACTTAGCCAAATTAGTTTGATGACATGAAACCTAGATGTTGCAAAATTTAATAAGTAACAATAGCAGAGCTAGTGTCAGAGACACATATTTTTGGTTTACATGGGAATCTGGTACAAAAAAAAGATACCAGCCCTCAAGGGGTATCGAAATAAAGTCTAAAGTACTAGCCCTCAAGGAATACTTTAGGTGGTTTTATTTTAAATAGGAATATATAATACATCAAATAAATAGGTTATGTGACTAAATTATATAATTGATTGAGTACTATGCTTCTATTTCTAAAAGTCGCTTTCGGAATCTAGTCCGCAATTGTCTCTTTTTAGAATCTATCCAATTAACTGGAATATAATATTCTTCATATTCTCTTACATAAATATCCAAAGGAATATTTAAATTACATTGTTTATATAATTCAATCCATTTAGTATGCCACTGATTAAATTGTTCTCGAGTCTGAGGATTTTTTATTTTATGTCTCGTTAAACCTAGAAACTTTTCATCATCTGGAGTATTATCATTTGGTAAGCTATTCCATACAAGTCGCGCATTTGATGGTACTCTTCCTCGGAATCGTTTCCAAGCACTTTGTATAATTCTTGCTGAAGCATCCTTAGTTTTAGGTTTGGAACACTCATAATCCCAATGTTTCTGCATCAAGTCTTCTGGCTTGATAATTTCGACATATCTACTTCTAGCATAATGAAATGTCTTTGTTGGTTTTACATTATCAATATGAATAAGTTTCATACAATCTAGACATATCGCTACATTTGCTTTATGGATTCTAGGCCTGTAGTAATCATGATTAATTAGCTTAGAATTTCCGAATCCACCAAATAAACAATGTACATGATATAAACTTCTTTTCCCCTCAGAGACCAGCTCTTGTAAAGGAACTCTGACCCGAATAGCCCATTGTTGTGGAGTTTCATTGGGTTGAATAACTGATAAAGTATCATATTGTCTTTCAGTCTCGAAGAGTTCATCAAAGTATCGTTGATAATTATTAATACCACAATATTCGTAGATATATGACTCTGCATATTTCATATCATATCCAGGACGATTATTAATGAGCTTCACTGATTTAACTTTTTCATCAATAATAATAGAAATAGTGATACTTGCCATATTTGACGATTTAATAGAGACTTATATTGTTTTAGAGATTATGTAATTTATATCGAATTTAAGGATTTAGACCTATTTGATTTAATACCTATATACTCTAGAATAAGTGGATTCATTTTTAATAAAACGAGAAGATAATCTATAGTTATACTGATATATGGGAAAAAATCGAAATATATATATTACATTAATACGCGTGATTTTTAAGAATCTAAACCATGTGTAGTTAATCCAATTTTGATATACCTGCATATAATCGCACAAATATATCTATCAACTGACCTTTATGAAATTCTAATAATAGTAAATTAGCTCGATTGCGCATGAGAACACAAAAAGATGTATATGGATTAGACTACAAACGTAAACATTGATTAATATTCGAATTCGAATTAACAATAATAATAATAATAATAATAATAATAATAATAATCTAATTAAATAAAATCACTGAGGTTGTTATTCCCCGTGACCTGTCACGAGGACTATAAAAGATCTCAGTGATAATAAAATATATTAATATATAATCTACAAAATAAAAGTAATGCATTCTGACGTACACATGACGACAACAAAATTTGGAAATTTGAAAATTTAATGAAACGTTTGACCCATATATAAACGTAAAAATTTAAAAATTTAATGGAACGTTTGACTAGAGATGCGATCCGCGGATATCCGTCATCCGTTCATCCGTCATTTATCTCAAAAAATCAATCCGTCATCCG